TACTATTGCAGTACAAATGTGAAAGTTCTGCCTTACTAAATAATCTGGTTTATAATGTTTCAAATTTCTTTATAAATTTGACTGGTTCATCCTCCCTTTGTAGCATTTGTAGCACTACACAAAAGCCCAACAAAGTGAAGTTACTTGCTCCTGTGAAGTAAATAATGTAAACAGATGGTGACTTCTACATGTTAGTGTAAAACAAAGCCTGTCTTTCTTCACAGTGTAGAAAACAGCTGATTGAAAGTTGTCGACTTTCTGGGCTTTTTTGGGGGGGAGGGGAGACTAAACAGTTCATTGCTAATATGGTTTCCCCCTCTCCCAAACTATTTAACTTTTTTTTAACACATTGCCTGCTTTTTCTCTACCACACTTGTATTAGTCCCTTTTGACTGGCAAATCAAGTGTTATTTATGGACATTGACACATTTCCACACTGTTTTTACAAGTATACCTTCCTTCAATGATAGAAAGTATAAATTCCATCTTAAATTAGTGAGGTGGGTTTAAGATGGAGTAGAAAGATCTTGAACTCACCTCCTCCCACAGATATAACATATCTAAAACTACATATGGAGCAATTCTCTTAGAAATAGAAATAAAAACTAAAGGAACAGCATCTGTCCACAGCAAAGAGTAAAAGCCACCCAACTGAGAAGAGTAGGAGAAATGAGACATGGTCTCATGGGGTAGATCCTCCACACACTTCAACCCAAGTTGGGAGGAATATCATAAACATGGAGCTGCTCTCAGGGTATCAGAGGGCTTTTGCCTCTAACCCTAGCTATGGACAACAAAGGAACATACCTTAATAAGAACAATAAATCTGTGGGGAACAGAGATTCTGTTCTTAAAGACTGAATGCAAACCCATTGGTGCCAGAACCAAGGGCAAAATTAGTTTGAAAGGTGCCTAGATAATATGTAAACATTCTTAGTTTACTTGATTTAAATGATCAGTGGTGGGCAATCTCTTTAGAAACAGAAAGGCTGGATTATACCATGCTGTGTTTCCCATTTGTTCATCTAGCACAGATATTGGTGGGTGCTATAACTGCAAGATCCCTTTCAATCAATAGGACTGGGGGCCAAGACACCTTGAGCCTGCCTGTGAAACCAGTTCAGTCCAGAGGCTGCAACCCCAGTGACCCAGCCACTACTGGCTGGACTTTATAGTAACATGCAGCATGTTACATTGGATGCCTGTATTGTACATGATTCAGGTGACATGGGGGAACTATATTTCCAAACCCGAAAGACTGAAACAACTGGAAAGGTGACTCTTGCCACACTTAGCAGCTAGACCTATTGAAGGCAAAAAACAGAATGGTCAGATAAGCACAAATGTTGAGAGAAAACCAAAAACTAGAGCAAGGTTAAATAATAAGGTTATTTTAAAACATAAGACCAGTCCTTCAAGACTGTCAGAGATAGCTGTTTGACCTAACAAATAGAGGATCAGACAAAATGAGGAGACAGAGAAATTTGACCCATGTGAAAGATAGAACAATATAAATCTCTGGGGCTGGGGGAGGACACACCTTAATGAAATAAAGATAAGTAGATTACCTGATGAAGATTTAAAAGTAATGGTCATAAGGATGCTCATAGAACTTAGAAAATATTGAATGAACAAAGTAAGAAGTGCAAAAAGAGAAAATATGAGAAAATTTCAAATAGACATCACAGAGTTAAGGAAACCAACACGTGAACTGAAAAATACAATGGATGGACTCAACTGCAGTTAGATGAAACAAAAAATTGAATCAGTAGTCTGGAAGGTAGATTAGTGGAAATCATCCAAACAAAGCTACAAAGCAAATTTTTAAAAGTGAAGATATTTTAATGGGCTATTAAAAGGAATAACATAGTAAAATTGTAGGGACTAAATTACATATAAAGCTAACATGAAAGTTTGAAGGAAAAATAACATAAATATATACCAAAACAATCAATGAGGGATACATAAAATAGACAGAAGAAAAGGAGATCAAAAACATTGACATGAGGCAGGGGAAGGAGAGTAAAATTATAGACTGTTGAGGGACCTCAAAATTAACTTATTAGTTTCCTGGCAGGGGATCCAACTCAGGCCACCACGAAGGGACATTGCAATGGTAGCCCTGAGACTTAACCTCTAGGCCACCAGAGAAGCCCCATATAGGATATTATATGTAAACCTTATGGTAGCCTCAAAACAAAAAATATATAATCAAAACAAAAAAGAGATGCGAAGAGAAACCAAACATAATACAAAATAGAGTCATCAAATTACAAGAAAAGAAAAAAGAACAGGGAGGAACTATAAAAACAGTTGTAAAATAAGTTTTACATACCTATCAATCATCACCTTAAATGTAAATAAACCACTCTCCAATCAGATTACGCATAATGACTGAGTAGATTTTTTTAAAAATTTATAGTTTGCCTATATGATCTTGAGCCACTTTAGATATAAGAACACACATATAAACTGAGAGAAGTGGGCTAGAAAAATATACTCTATGCCAATAGAAATAAATAGAAAACATGCATAACAATACTTATATCAGACAAAATAAACAGTAACACAAGAATGTAATAAAAACAAAAATGGACATTATATAATATAATGAAAAGGTTGGTAATCCAAAAAGAATGTTGCTTGTACCCAACATAGGGTCACCAAATTATATAAAGAAAATATTTAAAAAACTTGAAGAAATTGACAACACAATAATAATAGGGAATTTTAACACCCCATTTTCATCAATGAATACATCATCCATATAGAAAATTAGGAAGGAAACATTGGTCTTTTAATGAAACACTGGGCCACATGGATTTAATGGATATGTATATGTATGTGTGTATATATATATATATATATATATATATATATATAGACCATGCCATCCAAAACTGAGTACACAGTCTTCTCAAGTGCATAGGAAATATTCTCTCAATGGTCCATATGTTGGGTCATATATTTTCAGTACATTTAAGAAGAATGAAATCATATCCACCATCTTTTCTGATAATAATTTCAATGAATCACAAGAAGAACACCAGAAAAATAGATATGTAGAGATTAAACAACATGGCTACTGAACAACTACAATAGGTCCTAGAATAATGATGTTTCATTCAACTTCATGTGCTGTAACATTGATGAGAAAGGAATCCCAACAAATGTTGAATGAAACCATGTCAGTAGAGGATCTGCTTTTGTTATGCATCATTTTGCTTAAAGTTGAATTTTCCCAGAACCTACTAATGAGACTACTCCTGTTTCTGTGTATTATTCAAAAAATATGAAAAAGCTAATTCAAAAAAATATATGCACCTAGATGTTTATTGTAGTATTATTTACAATTACAGCATTAATTACAGGCCGAGATATGGCAACAACTTATGTTTTCTGACCCATTCATTGATAGAAGAGGGGTAAAAATTTTGTGTGTGTATGTATGTTTGTGCGTGTATATGATATATATATATATATACATATGCACAATGAAATACTACTTGGCTTTATATACATGCATACACACACACACACACAAACCAACTATGAAATCTTGCCATTTGGGACATATGGATGGACCTTGAGGGGATTATACTAAGTAAAATAAGTCAGAAAGAGAACACAAACACCATATGATTTAACTCGTATGTGGAAGATTAAGAAATACACCAAATGAACAAACAAAACTAAACAGCACAAACTCTTAGAAACAGAGAACAAATTGGAGATTTCCAGAAGACAAGAGGGTTGGAGGGTGGGTGAAATGAATAAAGAGGTTGAAACGTATGGTCACATTTGAAAAGAAGGCTTTGGGGATCATGGTATAGAGGATACAGATGTTAAATCGGAATGCTATACTCCTGAAATCTATATAATGTTGTAATTCTACATTTCCTTAGTAAACTTTATCAATCTTGCAAGAATTAGATTCTGCCAATTCTCACTTACAATCAGATTATCAATAGGCAGTTACCTATTTTATAACTCAGGTTAGTTGACAATGGCACCTTATTTAAACATGCACATATACCTCTCAGGAACTGCCAGGGGTCTTACTGTGATTGTCATATGTGATGGCAAAAGATGATCCACATTGCTTTCCTTTTATACTCTGGATAATGTTCTTTGTCAAATACAGAACCCATGTAGATAGACTCTGGATTGCAAGCCATATTCAACCTTTGAGGTTTAATTTATTCTTAGCAAAAGAAAATGTGTTGTTTAAAGGGAAGAGAATTAGAGGGGTTTATAATAAAGATTTGTAACATGTCTTGGACCTTAGATATGTCTTATAGAACAAAATGTTTATGAGTTAAATGTAAATTAATCAGAAATGTATGTATTACATTTCCTCTAAAATGCAAATGAAGTTAAAAATTAACACAAAAGGGACCTGGAAAAAAATAAACTTTTTATTTCATCAGACCCACAGTATTTGAAATGCATTTTAAGAAGCTGGACAAATTCAAATTCAGAATAAATTTCTCCTTTGTTGTTCTCTTCTACTGCTTCAACCTCTTAATTGAGAACTCAGTGGCTGTTAATGGGAGAAATAAAGTTTTTTTTTTTTAAAGATTTATTTATTCATGCACACAAGAACTGGGGTACAGGCCAGATGCGCGGGAGGGTGAGAGGATTCACTAGACACAGAGTGGGGAACAGAACAGGCAGACTGACTGAAATACATTGCTGAGGGGAGCAACGGGTGAGACAGGAGAGGTCTGCTGCCCCATGTGGGATTCTCACTGGGATTGAACCCGCAGTGCAGAGGCTGCGGACAGCTTCACAGCACTGTGCTGAACTGCCTGCGCCACCAGGAGAGGCCCGGGAGAAAAAAGTCTTACAGTTTTGGTTTTTGTTGTTTTTTTTTTAAGAGCTTTTTGTCATGTTCTTATATAGCCAGAAAGGAAAATTAGAATTTGACTTTGAAGAGTTTGTCTTTGCTCTTGCTTTTTTTGCATCTCTCATGTTTCCTTTCATAATTGTTTTCTCAGGTTTGCACCTTCTGCTTCCTCTCCTCACCACATAAGCCCCCAGAGAGTGCCACCTCCTTCTTCACTAATGCAGAGAACACAGCCTCCCCATAACCAGCAGCCATCAGGATCACACCTCAAGTCTTATCAGCTAGAAGCAAACTCTTCTTTTCAACCAAATGGAATCCATGTCCATGGTAAGTAAGGAGCTGTCAGTCCCCTAATTTCAAAAAGATGTTACACTGTTGTTTTTTAATCATGTGTCTTAGTTACCAGTTGTGTATTCAGATTTTCTGCTTTATACATCAGGCTATTACTTTTATGACTTTCCTCTAAAATTTCACACTTACTTGGTATGAAATCTTAAAGTATTTCCGTGTTGGCTCTGTAATAATACAACTTATGACACCCCAAAGTAGTCAGCCGAAGGTGATGATCCATTCAATGACTAGTGCTTTTTCATTTGATTCTATTTAATTTTACTTTATTTATTTTCATACATCATTTTTCACTTTTCTACAATATTTGATTTCTCTCCTCAGGTGTAGTGCTTTAACACCACATGAATGGGACCTGACGACAGCATCTTGTTTCCTAAGCAAATAGCAGTCCTTTGCCCATGCATGCCTTTCCTCTCATAGGTCTTTTTCTCCATCCTCTTAAGTAGATTTTCTCTATTCTTCAAGGCATTCTCCATTCTTCATCCATTCTTCTAGATGAAATGACAATCTTCTCTGAAGCCTTTCCTGATCTCTTAGCTTAGTTTAAATCTCTCCTAGCTCTAACTTTTGATGTATATCACTTTCTGATAGTAACTATGTTTACTATATATTATAATTTGCATCTCTGTGAGTAAAACTTGTCTGAATATTAATTTGTAAACTTCTCTCTGAGGTCAGAATTTTCTGATTCCTTCCTTATTATTTCTCTCAGAGAACTTAACACAGTTCTCCACATGTTGTAAAGACGCATGGGTACTGGATAGAGTCATGCAAGAAGAAAAGAGGGATAGGAAGGCAAGAAAAATCACAGTTATTTTCAAAATGTGCAGGACTTGTATTTAACTCACAGCATGCATGGAAAAGTAATTCATATTTACTGTATTTTCTTTATTTAAATCTATTTTTCTGACTCAGGCAAATCATATGTATTTATATTTATATATATATAACATCTATCTATCCGTTATCTGTCTATCTAACATATATAAATATATTATGTAAATAAATATCAACTTTAAATTTTTTTGTTTTATATATTTTTACATCATTTTTCATTTTTGCACAATATATGCATTTTCATCTTGGTTATAGTCCCAATATAATTCCCGACCCCTTGTTTTGATCCTACTCCCTCCCCAGCCCCCCACTCCCATAGTGTGTGTCTGGTTTATAGTTACTTGTTGATTTTGATTTTTACTTTATTATAATTGGTCATTTTCCTGGTCCCTAATTTAGGTTTTTTTTAATTCCTGCTATGAGTGAGACCATCCGGTATTTTTCTTTTTCTTTCTGGCTTATTTCTCTGAGCATGATCCCTTCCAGCTCCATCCATATTGCTGCAAATTGCATGAGTTTGTCTTTTTTGATTGCTGAGTAATATTCCATTGTATATGTATATGCACCACATCTTCTTGTTCCAGTCATCTATTTTTGGGCATTTGGGTTGTTTCCATAGCTTAGCTATTGTAAATAGTGCTGCTATAAACATAGAGGTGCAGGTGCCCTTTTGAATTAATGTTTCTGTGTTCTTTGGGTAAATACCTAGGAGTGGAGTTGCTGGATCATATGGAAGCTCCATCTTTAGCAGGTTGAGGAATCTCCACACAGCTCTCCATAGTGGTTGGACCAGTTTGCACTCCCACCAGCAGTGCAGGAGAGTTCTCTTTTCTCTACTTCCTCACCAACACTTGTTGTTGCTAGTTTTTTTTAATATATAAACTTTTATTTCCTGGTGACAGTTAAACCTATGTAAGAAGAAGAGATACTGTTCATTTAGACAGTATTTAAGCTTCTTCTGAAAACAGGATTTTCCTTCATCTGCTTCTTATTAATTTCTAAATTTGCTCTAGTTATTACTGGAAATCAGTAGTTGATGTCCTAATCAAATCTAAATGGGTATTCAAATTAAGTGTAAACAATTTCCCAAGATGATAGATTCAAGCAGTGCTACAGAGCTAGGCTGAGTAGGAACCTGGACAGGTAAAGAGTAGGTAGGCAATATGAAGATTGTGGCAGTTTTTGCCTGATTTCCCCCTAAAAAATCCCAGGACCACTGGCTCAAACTCAAGGTTCCATTTGTCACTTTTCCCTGCTCCTGGGATACAACCACATAATCCTCCTATTGTATACAACAAAGCTTACGTTTTCTGCCATTCTTTTATCCTGGTAAATTTTTACCTTTTTCTGTCAGTAAATTTCTTGTCAATTTATTCAACCAAGAAATTTTTCATGAGGGCCTGTTATGTGCAAGATGCATAGTTGGGACCCCTAACCTAGTCAAAGAGCTTGTCTAATATAGGGGAGATCCAGGTCCCTGGTGCTGGGAAGCCACTCACAGGTAGGAGGTAGATGACATGAGTTTGGGCTTTGTGGAAAGTAGAATAGGTCATTGATCTTAAGACACATAATTTTTACCTTCACATATTAGCATCTTTGAAATCTGAACATATCTCAGTTCAGTGACATCATCTAATTGGCAATAATTTTTCCTTCTTATGCTATGTAGACTAATGTAATATTTCGCAGGCAATGGTGTCATAGTTCCAATGAAATGCAGTTATAACATGCTTTGATTATAACTTTGAAACACATTTTAAAAACTCAAAAATTAATCTACATGAAGAAGAAAAATTGGAGGCAAAGTCTCCAAAACATTAACAGTTTTTCTATCATGTGGTCAAATAATGAGTGATTTCTTTTCTTCTTTCTTTCTAAAGAAATTTTCAAAGCGATTTTGGACTTGAACCACTTTTAGTACAAATACCAGTCTACTCAACTGTGTGACTCTGGAAAAATATTAAGCCATGGTTCACATTCATTATATGAGGATGTCTTAACTACTTTCTCTTATCAGTTGTTATAAGTATTCAACAAGAAAGCACCTGGCACAGAGTAGGAGCTATTAATATAATGCTCCTTCCTCTACTCCTTTTCTTTTCTACATTACAGTCTTTGACAATGAGAATAATGTTAGATGCCTAAAAGTGAGTGTAAATACTTAGTGCAACGTAGGCATTTAGTAAATATTTGTCAAAAAGTGGTTGATACTGGGCCTCCCCGGTGGCGCAGCAGTTGAGCGCTGGGTTGCGAAACTGCCTGCAGCCTCTGCAGCGCTGGTTCAATCACCGGCCACTGGGTGAGGGTCCCACATGGTGCGCAGACCTCTCCTGCCGCCCGCTGCTCCCCTCAGCAGTGTACTTAGTCATTCTGCCTGTTCTATTTCCTGCTCTGGCTCTGGTGAATTCTCTCACCCTCCTGCGCCTCTGACTGTACCCAGTGCTTATATAAATAAATAAATAAATCTTAAAAAAAAAAGTGGTTGATACTCTGTCCTTCAACAAAGGAATAATGAGACAAGTGGACACAGAAAATAGGATCTGCCAGCAATTCCACTCCTAGGCATTTACCCAAAGGACACAGAAACATCAATTCCAAAGAGCACCTGCACCCCTATGTTTATAGCAGCACTATTTACAATAACTAAGCTTTGGAAACAACCCAAATGCCCAAAAATAGATGACTGGATCAAGAAGATGTGGTACATATACACCATGGGATATTACTCAGCATTCAAAAAAGATAAACACATGCAATTTGCAGCAACATGGATGGAGCTGGAAGGGATCATGCTCAGTGAAATAAGCCAGAAAGAAAAAGAAAAATGCCGGATGGTCTCACTCATAGCAGGAATCTAGAAAACTTAAATAAGGGACCAGGAAAATTAATAACTATAAGAAAGAAAATCTCAAAATCAACAAACAACTATGAACCAGAGACACTCGATGGGGGGTAGGGGGTGGGGAAAGGAGGGCTTGGGGTCAAAATAAGGGGGTTGTAATTGTGTGGGGATTATAAAAATAAAATTTAAATAATAATTTAAAAAAAAGAAATGCAAATGGGTAACTGTGACATCCCTGTGATGGCAACTTTAAGGTGTGCCTAACTGTATAAAAAATAAATCGTTTACAAGCTTAAAAAAAAAGAAAATAGGATCTGCCTTCTCATTTTGCAATACCTCCTGGCAAAAAGACTCTCTTTCTTCCTTCCACTCTCTTAGTTGAATAATGAATATGTTGTTAGCTTAACATTTTTTTAAACTTTCACTTTTTAAGTGTTAAAAATTTCTTTGGCCAATGAAAACCTGCGAACAGCCCAAAAAAATAAATACAAGTAATGAGTCTTTCTAGAAGAGAAAGGGGTATACTTGTGCAAATTAGGAGGTTGTAATTTCTCTCCTGGCAGATGGACAAGTGACTGCTATAATGAACTTACGAGGGGAGTATCCATGACATTAGCCACTGGGTAACTGCTAGGAATCCAGGAACCAGGGCCCCAGATGATGCAGCTTTGCTCCTTCTTCCAAGTGTTTTTCTGAAAATGTTTCTTGGAGCTTTCTAGGCATGAGTATTTCTCCTTGACTACTTCTTAAGATAAGGATCAAGTTGATCTTATATTGTTCAAGTGATACAGTGGGATCCAGTACTGGGAGTGAGAGGAACAGAGACCTTCTAGTGGAGCTGTAATTAGTGGCTGTGCTTTTCAGCTTTTGTTGAGCTAGTTTCCTAGATGGAGTTACACAGCATCTCGGTAATAGGGAACTTCATCCCCCAATAAAACTATATTTTTAAAGCCCCAAGCAATGTCATGGTTGCTAACATGATAGCAGCAGTAAGTATTTGTTTGCTCTTTCAAGGAGTTCATGGTCTTAATGAGCATCATCCTCTCAGTACTCCCTGCAGTAGGTAGAGGTCAGAGAAAAATGTCATTACTGTATTTTTAGAGCTGGCAACTGAGGCATGTAAGAATATAAAATGTCTAGGCATTGCTGCCTTGGCAAAGTACACAGACATCTTAAACAAGAGGTCCATATTGCCAAGCCACATATATCTTTTATCTATGTTTCTAAGTCAAAGGCACACCAAAATAAGTATCTATATTTATACTGTTATGCTAAGAAATAAATATGTATATTTATA